ATCTTATTAAAATTGTGATTTGACGGAAAATATTAAAATATTAATCTTTCGAATAGTTAACTGTTCTACTCAGTGACCTGAATTATAAATAACAGCTGTTATAAATTGACTGCTAATTATGGAACACATCCGAGTATGATTAACGTCAACTTACAGCCACGTAAATCTCAAGCAAGTCGTTTAAATGCGTGCATTAGCAGTGGAAAATAAATTCATATCGCATGATGTGCACTGTCTTCTGTTGTGTGATTGTAAAATATACGCATTTAATGTTATACGTATGTGTGTTACATTTGCTGCCGGGCGGCGGCTTTAACTTGTTATTAACGGGGGTTTTTTCTGCTGTATTTGATTTTATAATCGTCGCCATTTAAATTTTTCTCCAGCACGAAGAATGCCTTCATCCATTGTAACGCAGCGCAGATACACAACGGACGTCCTTACTGACGCGAGAACCTCAAATCTCGTGCACATTTTTTCGCCCGCTGATCGTCGCTTGTTTAATTTCGAACGCCGTGCGCGGCTTCGTTGCGCGATTGAGGCTGTCATTTGTTCATCGTATTGCTTCTTATGGCATTGGGCATTCATCTTTGTAGCTGGAGGACGTTACGAGCAGCGAGCGTGATGAACCCACGCACTGTACGAGACAGTAAGCATTGAGTCGCTCTCAAGTTAACAGCCCACAGCAGAATGAATGTCTCTGCTATCTTTTTTTATCCGAAGTTGAAGCAAGATACATCCTTTGAAACTTGGTGTTTTAAGATTTTTTTATGACGTCAAAGCAAAGAAGGTGGCGGTGTATGAATTGTAGCCGCATTTGTGCGTGGTTTCTGGTCAAATGTACATTGTCTTTGCGTTATGACTAGGAAGAATTTCCAGTCTGCCTGTTAAGTTACTTGTCCAGCGATTAAAATAAAAGTGTAGAACGAATATATAAAACTGTCGTTGTTTATTGAATTCGAAGCTCTCAGAATGTGTTCCATTGGTATAGAGTTCCCCGTTGTGCGTACAGTTGCTAGAGAACGGTGATTCCTAATGCTGGTTCGAAATCCGTTCACGAAATAGTCCGTGCTCAATATCCTTCCGCTCAATGATATTTCTATGGTTTCCAGTCTCGCATTATGACAAACATTGACGAGTTATCTCTGACAGATCTGAGTTTTAAGGGTTAAGGGATAATGTGGTTTGTTAAGGAGAAGGATTGGAAGATTAACAGAGGATGATTCATCCTCCTGTCTACATTTCTGCACTTGGCGCTTTCTGAGAGGCTCGTGATTTGTAGTTAACAATTCTGTTACCAGCCTGATTTGGTTCCTGGACAGTAATTTGTCTTTTAGCTACGATACCTTTAGCGGATTCTCTCCTAATTAAATTATCACTAAAATATAATGTAAGGCAGGCTCTACTCGTTTTGCGTTTTTCATTTTATCTGTAATCTACTTCATTTTATTGAATAAAATTTTTCTTGGATATTATCCATCGTCTAGTAAATATAAAACGTAAAACGACGTTTCGGAGATGGGACTCTATCTCCGTCTTCAGGTTCCTACACAGTTGGGCCCACTAGATAGAGCTAATCCCCATCTCCGAAACGTCGTTTTACGTTTTATATTTACTAGACGATGGATAATATCCAAG